GTTTTTTTGTTGTAATGGCTTGATAAACTCGGGAAAGGGCGAACGTTGCCCAATAATGTCACATTTTTGCCTTGTGTCCTTTTACTTTACAAATAACTGCGCAGCATGTGGGTGCCTGGCAAACCTAAGAAACAGCGTTTCGACACTTCAGAAAAGGAATCGTTCAGGACTCCGTGTACGTCAGGCCCATACTGGAGTATGCAGCACCATTTGGAACCCACCTGGACAGTTCGTAAAGAAATTGAGAAAGTTCAAAGGTTTGCAAGAAGACTAGTTTGGAGCTTAAGGGTCTCTCCTACGGGGAAAAGGGTTTTGGGGGAAATCGAACTGTGACACGGGAAGACAGGAGGGATAGGAGGGACTTGAATCGACATATAAAATACTGAGAGGAATTGACAAGGTGGATAGCGACAGAATGTTCCAGAGATGGAACACAGCAACAAGGGTCACAGTTGAAAGCTGAAGACTCACTTAAATCACATTTTGCTCTACACGCAAGAAGCCTCTCTTCGACCCTGTCGGGGTTTGAAGAATTTTTTATTCTACAACGTGATATCCTTTTCACAATGCTGTCGAATCGTGTGAAAATCAAGCCTGTGAATGTGCAATTAAATGACTCATCGAAGTTAGCTTTAGCTACCGTCGTTAGGACCTGCCTGCAGGTCAAATTTACGCAATCCACTCTCTGAAAGACTCCTTCATTGTCGTCTGCACAGATGACACGGAAGCACTAAAAACTAATGGACGACTCTTCAATCAGGACCCTAAAAACACAACAATTCACTCTATCCCCGTCTCCATTCTTGAAGTCGAAACGTTCGGTCTTTGTGAAAAGACTTGACATATCGTCACCTCTCTCTCTACTAAAGCATGAAGACATCTATTGAGGAACAAAACACGTGGGCCTCGGTAGACAGCATCTCAAAGATCCCCAACGCCACATCAATGCTAAAGATTACATTCTCAGACATCTCCATGGCTGCCCAAGCTCTCTCTGACGGTCTGGCCATCTCTATTACCACTTTTCACCCAAGTCAATTTAGAACAAGAACGTTTCACATACATCTCCCACTGCTGGACCTGCTACTCCTATAATCACCCACCAAGGATGCCCCATCAAGAATAAGAAGTTTTTTTTCAAAATGTGGGAATGATGGACACGATTTCAGATCCTGCACCATTACTACAACACCAACATGTCTTAACTGAAAGGGGTAATCATCATACCCTTGCAGCTAAGTGCCCACTCAGGAAAAAAAATCATTTTGAAGAAAACTAAAGTTCTGAAGAAAACCTCCATTCACCGCCCATATGCTGCAATAACCAAACCACAAACCGACGCCATCAAGACTCTACACGCTAATCTAGGGGCACCATCGCCCAGCAACTCCCTCTCTCCACTCCCCGACGGTGCTCCTTCCAAGGTGCTGTACTGCATGGTGTATGCACACCTTGCAAACGCACAACCCCCGGGCTTTTTTCAACACCACTTTTTAACGAACTATTCCGTCTGAACAACATGCCTGCCTTCAATTTTCCGGAATCCACACCTTCAGAAGACATCCTCAAGACCCTTTCCCCAACGTCCTGAACTTTACTGCCCCTACAGCCTGTCTCCTGCCCAAGCAACTGCTCCTGTAACTTCTAAAACCCACTTCCACCGATGACAACGTTGATCAGTTGCCTCAACCACCCCCTCCCACCTCTCCCAGCCTGCTGTTACACAACCATTACACCTCACAGCTGCTCCTGTCGAACCTCAGTCACCTGCTACCCCCATTGTAGATTCTCCCAGTGAATCCACTCCAGAAGAGGAAGGGAAAAGACGACTCCAGTAAACCCCCATGGGAAAACCTTACCTTTTACACTTCTCCTTCAAATACTGACACCATGACCTGTACTGAACTCTACAAAAGCCTCGGTGCTGGAACAGTCAAGTATGCATGTGAATCACCGCTTCACTTCACACTCACCAAATTCTTGAGTCATCAAGCCTCTACGTTTCACCTTCAGCAACAAGGCTAAATTTTTACCATCTATCTAGAAGCCCGCTTCAAAAAGTTTTGAAAATGGCTCCATTGCTAACCTGCCTCCTCAGTTACTCCTATAACTCCCATATGTGTTCTACCCTCTGATGTGACCTAGCCTCTGCCAGCTACTCAAGATTCAAGACTTCAACTACAACAAGTTCAATGCAACAGTCCCTGCTATTCCTGTTCTCAAGTCTGCCCCACGATCGCCTCAGCTGCTGGGTTAAGCCCTGGCTCTATTTCTCTTACTAAGAACACTCCTCTCCGAGCTATTCTTCACTGTCCCGTCTTCCCCGCTCATCCCATTGGATCTTACCTAAACTTGTTTGCTTTGCTTTTCTTTTATTGTTTGTAATGGCTTGATAAAGCTCCTGGAGAGCGAAACGTTGCCACAATAAAATGTCACATTAGTTGCACTTGTGTCCTTTTACTTTTCAAATAACTGCTGCAGCATGTGGGTGCCTGGCAAACCTATGAACAGCGTTTCGACACTTCAGTAAGGAATCGTTCAGGGCTCCGTGTACGTGGGTTTGGTAAGACACATATGCAAAAGTTAGGGATCTTTATTATGAAACGTTTCGCCCACACAGTAGGCTTCTTCAGTCAAGTACAGAAAATTGATAGAAGCAGAAGATACTTGAAGACGATGTAAACAGTCCATCACCCTTAAAGTTTTTTAGGTGGTCAGCCCTCAGTCTGGAGAAGAGCATTGTTCCATAGTATGAAACAATATCCCTATTGTTTTATACTATGGAACAATGCTCTTCTCCAGACTGAGGACTGACCACCTCAAAACTTTAAGGGTGATGGACTGATTACATCGTCTTCAAGTATCTTCTGCTTCTATCAACTTTTCTGTACTTGACTGAAGAAGCCTACTGTGTAGGCGAAACGTTTCATAATAAAGATACCTAACTGTTGCATATGTGTCTTACCTAACAACCTGTCGGTATTTTATACCATTTTAATTTTCACTCCGTGTTACGTCAGGCCCATACTGGAGTATGCAGCACCAGTTTGGAACCCACCTGGACAGTCTCGTAAAGAAATTAGAGAAAGTTCAAAGGTTTGCAAGAAGACTAGTTCTGGAGCTTAAGGGTCTCTCCTACGAGGAAAGGTTGAGGGAAATCGAACTGATGACACTGGAAGACAGGAGGGATAGGGGGGGACTTGAATCGACATATAAAATACTGAGAGGAATTGACAAGGTGGATAGCGACAGAATGTTCCAGAGATGGAACACAGCAACAAGGGATCACAGTTGAAAGCTGAAGACTCACTTGAATCACAGGGAGGGTAAGTAAGACACATAGGCAACAGTTAGGCAACTTTAATCCGAAACGTGTCGAGTACAGAAAGTAGGCAGGAGCAATGGAGATGTGAATACGATGAAATCAGTCCATCATCCTTCAAGTCGTAGATTTGAGGTTGTCAGTCCCTTAGCCTGATGAAGAGTTCTCTTCCATAGTCAGGAACAATCTGAAGATCAAGCGACAGTGTTCAGCCTTATATACTGTCGGAAGGAGAAGTGCAGAGTAGTAGTGAGAATGTAGGCACTGAGAGGCCACGTTCCTCACAGATGAAACAATTCTCAATTGAAAAAGTTGTCCAAGGTATTTTCTCTTCTGTACCAAGATGTTATTGTGTTGCAGTGTCTGACAGTGAATATCAAAATGGTATACAATACCAACAGGTTGCTAAGTATTACACATAAGCAAAAATTACACAATTTTAATCCGAAACGTTTCGCCCACACAGTAGGCTTTTTCAGTCGCACACAGAAAGCAGGCAGGAGCAGTAGAGATGGTAGATACAGGTAGTAGGTTGGTAGATACAGGTAGTAGGTTAGTAGATACAGGCAGTAGGTTGGTAGGTACAAGCTATAGGTTGGTAGGCAGCAATCACCCAAGGAGGTACATCTGTCCTGCAAAATACTGTGTGTTGAGGATAATGTTACAAGCTTAGTAAAGATTAAATAGTGGACTGTAGGGAAACTTATCTTGAGAGACAGCTTTCGCCCACACAGCCGTCCCTCCAGGTGATGTCTTGAGAAGCTGTCGTATGCACTACCTCACAGGTAGCGGAAGGCATTTTCTTGGACAATGAGCGTAAAATGCTTTTGCATGGGAGAAGTTAGTCTTACATAAGCCTTTCTAAAACTGGGGCAACTCTGTTAAAAATTATTTCCAATTTTTAAAGGGTGGGCCAATAAACCCTCAGAAAAT